CTGCTTACGTTCCAGGGGAATCCCAGAGTGCAGATTTATGAGAATCAAGTTCCCAACAAATCTCTGCACATGTGCAAATACACTGCTGCTGCTGGGAAGAAATGGGTCATTACATTGAAATATTTTCATTGTCTAGACTTTAACCCCAAAACCTAATCCTCATCATTAAAATAATCTGGTTTTAAATTTAGCTTGATTTTGACGTACGGCCTTCAGGATTAGGTAGAAACTGAGCAGCTACCTTTTCGAATGCTCTCTTTCTGCTAAAAATCTGCATTCAGTCAACAGCGTTCGGACTCTACGGCTTGTTGTTGAGCCACACGAGCATATTTTCCTTCTCCTTTGGCTGCAGCGTGTTTTGCAATCCAACAATTACATTGTCTCTCCTCACAGTGAAATACGGTTACCTCATTGGTTATAATTGCTGCCATGACCTCACTGTGTTTGAATAACAAAGGTGCTGCTTGACTTATTGTAACACCTCCGAAGCCACGAAGCCAAAACCCGACTCCTACCTCCGTGATTTAGAGGATGCGATCCTCTCGTAGATCTGCTCAGATCTACTTTATTGCAGCGCCTATCATGGCTTCAGGTGTGAACCGCAGTTTTCTAAACCGTGTAAGCCCACCGCCCCCCACCAACGGAGCACGTCTATGCATGTGCACACGCACACGGACGAGAGCTTTTAGTGCCGAGAATCAGGGAGACAATTACAAAGCAATATCCAAGCAGATACTCACTGGCTCTCTCACAGAGGGAATTTGGCAGCTCTCTTAGAATTGATAGCTATTTAGCTCACAGATAGTCATCTGTTTTAATGCATTAATTTTGTATTAACAGCACTGCCAAATTTAATGGTGGAAATTAGGGTATGATCATAATGGCATGTGGCTGCGTGTGTGTGCGTGTGTATGTGTGTGCGCATGCGTGTGTGTTTTTTTTTGTGCATGTTTGTGTGTGTACATTTCTGATGCTCTTTTTGTCTATACTTTTGTATGTGTTTGTTGCGTGTACATGCTGTATTATACGGTTCCTTTGGGAGCCATTCTTTGGAATTACCGGCTCTCTGTCTCCCTTCCACCCTTCCAGTAATACCCACCTCCATCTTGTGCGAGCTGGACTCTCTCTGCAACCACACTGTTTTGTGTTAAAGGTGCACTTTTACTTTGCATTTAAGTGGATGGAAATGCAGATGTATGCAGTGCTCTGGGTGGGTGGTGAAACTGATACAGCCATGTATTGCCCACTCAGAGGGCAAGGTGCACTGTAGAGTTGTGAGAGAGAGGATGGGGTGGTGCCCACACCGCCCCTGTCCCTCTTTACCTGAAAAAGCACAGAGCACTGCTTCAGCCTCCACAGCAAGAGACAAGGTGCTCCATCGAAGAGAGAGGCTTGAAATTGCTTTTTTAAACTATGAAAATCACCACAGTATAAAGCTTAGAACCGGACCCTTCGGCAGAATGTCTTTTTAAAAGCTATAAAAATGGTAGTTGGGGTATATATATTTTTTGAAAATCGCAATATGACTACAAAATGACTTAAAGATACCTTCGATCGCTGTGCTTTTATGAACTTATCTGTTAAATCGGACCACACGTGCAGTATATTCACATGCACGCAGCATGTCTCCTGCTTGCTGTTGAGTACATCGCCGCATTACAGGCGGTCACACGCTTGTACTTGCTCAGCTGAATCTCCTATATAACTGCTGTAAATTTCCAGACAGTTCAGTGGTATTGAATCCATGCCGCTGACCCAGCCAGCTTCCCCCCATTATGCTCCACAGCTCCCCTCCTGTTGGGGCCTTGATAGGGCGGTTAGAAGCCCCTGAGCCAGGCCGACCAACTCCTCCCAGCCCAACATGACTTTTTCATTAAGCCGCCAAATTCCTGCACTCCAGTTGGAGGTGATTTATCAACTAGGGGCTTCATTGCAGGTTCATAGGAAACAGACATAGGCCCTGTCTCATGCATTATTATGTTTCACATTCAAAGTGTGTGTGTGAGTGTGTGTGTGTGTGTGTGTGTGTGTGTGCGCTTGTATGTGTGCGAACCAGAGAAGCCAGCGAGTGTACTGTGTCCAAACTGTGTTTGTGCTTTTAGATATAATCCTAGGAGTCTCATGGATAATTCCTGAGGAATCCAGTGAGAATCAATGTTAGAGAAAGTTTGTGTGTCTGATGATCAGATGGTTGTTGTTCTCATGGGTCAAGCTGTGCTGCTCTCCTATGCACTATGCAATTTTGCCCCAGTCCTCCCTGGAATACTGAATGAGCACGGACCACCTCACTCTTCATTGGTTTGATCTCCTCCCTCTTTCACTGACTCTGAACTGCCCCAGACTGCTTTGGGTCATGGCCAGTGCAGAGATGGTGAAAGTGTTGGTTTACAGGTGTAACCGTTTGACATTGTAGACAGAGCTACACGAACTGGGGCAGGCCAGTTTTGGCCCCGTTGAGCCCATCTTCCTGGCAAGTCAGGTTTATAGTGAATTATGGCCGATTCTGGGGCAGGCAGTCTCAGGTTCACTCCTATATAAACCCTGTGCTTTTTATGGGAAACTATAAAACTCCCAGGATTTTTTTTTTCTACCTCATGAGACTTGCTTTGAAGTTTCGGTCAGGTGCTGTCATTTTTTAAAACTTGTCTTCTTGTAGATTTTTGGAGCCTTGAGTCATTTGTGGCAAGGAACCCTTTTTTTTTTTTTTTAAATTCAAGACATCTGCTATGACTAAGAGCAATTTGATTGATTTGGTGTCATCTATAACTGAATCTGTCTCTCAGATTTCTCTCTACCTTAGTTCTGATGCAATATTTTTGCACAGAGGAAAAGGAGGAGAAGGAGGAGGGCTCCCACAATATCCAGAAACACCTCTTCATGACATCATGGATGGCTTAAAACGAGGCGAGAAAGGAGAGCGCACAGAGCTTTTTACAATCACCTAATAACTCTATTACACCGAGCTGTGGGGCTCACAAAGAGGAAAAAAAACTCCTATTCCTTTTCCTGGAAGCGGTGTCTTAATGCACATTTTAGGTGTAGAAGTGAGAAATATGAAACCAAAGAGAATGAAACACAATAGCCCAGAAAACCCCATAGCAATATTACAATATTGCTAGAAAATTAAACATTAGGAGAAAGGGACAAGAGCATTTTAGGCAGGCATAATATTGTTATGGCTCTTTTTTTCACCAGCCTGTCAACACCTGATTTAGATGTAATGTGGTTAAATGTGTAATGTTTCCATTGCTTTTGTGTCTTGCAGCCAACCAAACAGGCCATCTAGTGCGGGCGGGGAGGATGCTTTAGTTTCTTTTTGATGAATGTTTCATTTTTCTGATCTTTTATTCGAAGCGTAATTGTAAGCCTGATGTTCAAGCTAAATGAACACACAGAGGATTATACTCCGTAAATGTAGGATTGTGCAAAAATGGACACAAAGCAAACCAACTAGGGCTGAACAATGAATCGATTAGATGTTAAAAATCACAATTTTCTACAATGCAGTTGCCAAAATTTTAAATTTACAATATACTTTGCATTGCACCTGAGCCGGGCCTGATGTGTCGGTGGTTTCACACGTTCACACCGTCCTCTTGTGTGGTAATGTTCCAGCACATATTTAAAATCTGTTACAGAGCAAATATTTAATTGAAGCTCTGCTTTCAAAGATTGTGTTTTAAATCAAATCACAAAATCTCTCAGAAAACTGGCGATTAGACGTTTTTATCAAATTGTTCAGCTCCAGTTCTCATTGCTGTCTGTGTTTCGAGGAGTTATCGTCTTCTTCTTACTGCAGCAGGATAATTTTCATTTGTTTCATCTGGTTAAGAACGACAAATCATTAGTGTTTCATCCTCATTTTGTTCTCAGGTGATTTACATGTACAAGAAGTTTGTATCATATCATACTGATTCCATATCTACTACTATTCACAATCACTTTATTGTTGTCCCCAAAGGAGACACAGCGGCTGAAAAGATTAGAGGACAACTTTTGGTGATTGGCATTGATTGCAGCCACAGAAATCCACAGCGAGACTCAAGAGTTTGATGTCTTGACAGGCGTGACACAAGTGGCCATACCGGGGCCGGGGCTTTTATTGTAAACATGCAGCAACAATCAGTGTGATGCTTTAGGATAATGGTCAATAACTCTGTTGCTCACACCAGGCGCAGCCATATTGTGTTGGCCTTGCATCATTGATTGAGCCATGCAGGAGGTAATTAGACCGGAGCTCGGCGGTGCGACGAGGGGCTGTGGTGGCATGGTGTCACTACGGGGCGGTACGTATGTTGTGACACTCCGGAGGGTGGGCTCCAGGCTGGAACAGGCGCACCGTCGAGCGTTGGGAGGAAGCGCTGGGGTTGACAGGTCAATACTGATGCTGATTTCTTGTCCTCTGAAGGTTGTCCTCCTGTTGTGGAATGTTCCATTTTCCCTCAGAATGCACTCAGTGCCCCTCCTGCTCAACCACCGGCTGGCTTTGCCTCTCTTTCTCCACGAGAGAGCGAGGATTTAACTCGCCATGATCAATATTTAGTATCCCATGCGTGAAACAGGCAGATGTTTGGAGTTTCCTTTTCAGAGACGGGAAGCTTCTGTTGAGTGAAGGGGATCAATGCTTCCTTCCGTCTGTGAGGCTGCAGACCCACGGCTTCTGAAGGGTGGCTGATGTGATTCCTGCCCGCCCTCGGGCCCCTGAGATTTGCGCGCCTCCCAGGCCTCTCCTGTCCTGTTAGCCCACTGATACAGACACTCACACAGACAAGTGTGCAGTCCAAACAGTTGTCCTGAAGTGGAAGAGGTCTGGATGTTAAACAACAGGGCTGTGATTGGGAATTGATTTGTTCATTTGCCAACTGTGTGAGTGAAAGTGAGTCGGTGGTGCCTAGCCAGCTATCTGCCATCTACAATAACTTCTTTCTCTCTCTTTTCCTCTCCCTCTCTTTCTCCGTGTTGCCTTTCCTCCTCTATCTTTCTCCATCCCCCTCCCACAGCACCTGCAGCAGCACGAAAACGCGGTGGAGGGTGATGCCTGCTACTACCACTGTGTGCTGTGCAACTACTCGACCAAGGCCAAGCTCAACCTGATCCAGCATGTGCGCTCCATGAAGCACCAACGCAGCGAGAGCCTCAGGAAGCTTCAGCGCTTGCAGAAAGGCCTGCCGGAGGAGGAGGAGGACCTCAGCTCCATCTTCACCATTCGCAAATGCCCTTCTTCGGATACAGGTCAGAACACGCCCATGACTTTGTTTTCACTTCTTGCTCTCTCCACCTATGCAGCTTCGCCTCTTGTGCACATAAACACACATCCAGTTGTTCATCCGTGGAGCTTCTGAGGCTTCTGAGTGTTGCATTCACGATTGTTTTACATTTACTTCCTCATAAAATTAGAAATAAAGCGTCTATTTCAAAACAAAAGCATAAGTTTTGTGCTCAGATTTTAGTTTTCTTGGGCGCCATTACAGAAGATTTCACGCCGACAGAACTGAAAGACAAAGTAGACGACAACAAACAAGGCTGAAACTTTCATCTTCAGAAGTATTTATGATATCATCGATAAGTCTAATTGACGCAAATTGTTCCTGCAAAGCCAGCGTGCCCCAGTCCAAACAGAAATCCCCGTTAATGGGCGCTGACTTTTTCTAGCCATTAAAAACATATTGAGACGGAGCATCAAGGCGAGAGAAGGAGGAGCCGAACAACAGCAGCAGCAGCTGAGACAACAACAAGAACACCCAAAAAAACAGACGTAACAACAGTAGCACGGCTGAAACAAAGTGCCTCAACTGCCCATTTATTATAGACTGATTAGGAAGAGTGCGCTGTGGTCAATTAACACTCTTTCTTAGTAGAGATTTGGTTTTCTAATCACTTTAACTCCTGTGCCCTGACAAAGGGGCTCTATTGTGTGTCCTTCCAAGAGGGAACCATTACTTCCCTCGCACACATACTCGCTGTCTGTGTTATGTAGGAGAGAGGAAAAAAAAAAAAAAAAGGCCAGCCTGTGAAGACGCTTTGTTCCAAGGAGGCAGGGATAATGAAGCCAGCGGCCGGGAAATTGCGCAAAAGGCAGTCACAGATCTGAAGCAAATCATTAGAGAACATATTTAGCTGAGCAATTAGGGACAATTAAGCTTTCTGCTCGCTGCACTCCAAATATGTTAATGACTACAGTACAGTGGACAAGCGAACATGCAAAGGCAAGAGGAAGGGCCATTTAGGTTAAAAGGGATGGGGGGTTGGGTATTTTCTTTTTATTTTTTTGTGTGTGGCGTTCAGACAGGAGGAGTTGTCGTGCTGTTTGCAAATAAATGTGTTTTCTCATCTTTTTTTTAATAGATGCTGTTTTTTGTCAATCTTTTTTTTTTTTTTTTTAAACCTTTCATGTGTTTGATGCATGAGTTTGTGTCCGGATCAGGGATCTGAGGCTTGGGTTAGGCAGCGTCCCCCTGCAGTGGAGCTGTGTGCAGCCAGCATCACACACAAACACTAACAGAGAGCAGAGCTTCATCACATTACAGTCACCCTGAGCAGACCGCTGGCATCCAGCACAATCTCCAAGAATTTCACCTAAAGTTGTCATTTAGATTTAATGTCTTTACTGTCTCTTTGTGTACTTTGATGATGATGTTTGATTGATGGCATCGGTCTAAATGCCTTTTTCTGGTTTGCCTCGTAACTTCGGCGCCGCTTTACCAATGTATCATAAAATTGTTTTTGTTTTGCTAATTATAAGCCTTCATAGTAAAAAAATTCATTCTGTTCCTTTCCAGGACAGAAAACCCGTTTAACAACAACATCGGTAAACAGGAACCATTATGATTTCGCTCTTCGTCCTCATGTTCGACGTGACCTCCATTTGTTTTCCGTTAAATAAAACAGAAGTGTGCAAAAATGTTTACCGAGCATCATGATCAAATTACCGCCATAATGAATGCGCCTCTTTTGCCTGTAATCATTAAATCTAAAATTGCTGACTCCACACCCCTCGTTTTTTTTTTTTTTCTTTTTACCATTTCACACCCCAAAAGCATCAGCTGTGCTCGTCCACCTCACAGCCCCACCCCTCAGCTGGGCCTGAACCCTTCCCTCCCAGTGTAATATTTAATTTCCTCTTCTCCGGCTCTTCTGTGGCACAGGGCTCTTTTTTGTGGTCGAGGCATAGTTGCTAAAGTGGTGGAACATTCCCTGGTTTGTTAAAACAAAGTTGCCCCTGGATTTCTGGGTCACCTAGTCAGTAATTCCCTCGCCTGCTGCTGTTCTGTGATCCTGCGAGTGTTTCTCTGCTGGTTTAGGTGCTGGGCTTGTAGCCTGCCTGGGATTTTACCCAAAACATATGAACACTGCTTTTCTCCAGAAGTGGCTCACAACTACGGTCACACACATGTCAGCGTTGCACAGAGAGGTGGTTTTAAGTGGAGGAGGAGGGGGAGAAAAATCCCCTGAATTTTAAACAATAAGGTTTTTGAGTCATGGTCTGCAGTTGACTGTTAAGTTGCTATGACAGCAAGGGAGTAAATGTGAGCTAGCTCACCAATGTGGTATGTTTTACAACTTTGCATATCAATGTTCCTTATGAGGATGCGGAAAACATGGACTGCAGGGATTTGGTGCCACAAATCTCCTTTGGGCTGGACGTCCGAAGAGAGCAAGGGCAGCAGAAATTAGGTTTCTTTTTAATTAGACTAACGCAGGGATAAAAGGCCGGCATTGTTTTAATTCTTGCTCATGCTATAAATGTGCTGCTTAGGCATTTTGCTCTGTGGCCCCACCTCCATTTGTCTTCTTTAACCCTTTATCTATGGGGAAACAAAGGAGGTCTCAGAGGGACCCCAACCCCACACAGCTGCCCTGTGTGCAGAGATCACCGAACAAAGCTTAGCACTGACTTGAACCAACGCACCAGTGCTAGCTTCTAGTTTTAAGAACAGCAGCGCCTTGCCGGGTGGCAGATAGAAGCAGAATGAAGAGAAGACATGTATGTGACAGAGGAGGCAACAGGGAAATAATATACAAGTCCCATGAAGTGATCACCTGGGAGGACAGCTGGTTTGACGGCACGAGAGCAGAATATGTTTTAGGTTGAGATGGGAAAAGGTTGAACCAACGTCAGGCTGAATGTGTCTGAGAGAGACCAGTATTTGGCGAATAGGTGAAAATAGTTAAAAATGGATGCAGGAGATGTGAGGGAACGAGTTTTGGGAGCTTGCGCGTGAGAGCTAGTGTGACACTTGAGCATATGATGACCCTATTTCATATGAATGATGTTCACCAGGGCATGTAACTCAGTGACACATTGAGGTTTCTCATTTCTTAACATTTAATCGACTAAAGTTATTTTTTGAGTGTAGAACAGAATTAGATCATGCCTTTAAAAAGGGCAAAGTTAAATTGCAGTGAAGGGTGAATGCCCTTCTCCAAGAAGTGTTTGCTTTGCGCCTGTGTGTGTGTGAGACGAGGAGAAAAGAGAGCGATGCAGGAGAGAGCATTTCAGAAATGTAAAATATTAGTATTTTGCAGCAGCGGTGTATGTGTGTGAGTTTATGTATGTGTATGGAGGAGGCAGAGATGGAGAACAAACGTGGCTGACAGTGTGGATTAGCTCCTGCTGTAAATCTGCCTCAGTCACAGATGGCAGGCCCTTGATCGCTGGGCTGTGACGGCTTGGCTCTCATCGCAGGAGGAAATCCCTGTCTGTGAGCCTAGGAGGCTGGGAAGGAGAAGGCTGGGGCTGAGGCCACCTGGGCAGCCACCAGTCATTGTCTCCAGTCTGTGTGGACATAGAGGCCGGGGTATTGAAGGGCGAAGCCTGGTGTGGGGAGGGGTTATCTCACTTTGACGCTGCAGTTGTTAAATCTACCACTTTGTGGCTGCTTGTAAGTGGAACTTAAGCCTCCAGTTTAGACCGGCGTTACTTTTAATGACCAGTTTGAGAAACTGGGTGGGGGTAGCGGTGTGCATTATTAAATGGAAATGAGACGAAAGGATGCATACAAATTACTGCATAATAGTGGCATCCAATATGAGATCCATTGCTTGTTTCGCTAAAAGGGGTGCACTTTCAGGGTCACACACCTAATAGCAAGGCCTGTCCTGACAACAGAGGCATTTCTCTTCCCTCCCCACATGCCTCCCTCTCTGCCTCATGCATAATTCTTGAGACACTCTGAAAAGCTGGAAAATACACAGTGACATGGAAAAATGCATTAATAAAGCAAATAGAGCAAAGTCAGTCATATTTTAGGCTTTGCACAGCACCCTGCAGCTCACACTGAGGTTTAATGACGGCAGATAGGAAGTGTTGACACGCAGTCTGTCGAAATTATTTTACCACATGTGTGATATGCACAATATTGATCCTTTTGTTTCATCTTCCGCTTTTCACTGCTCTTTTTTTTTTTGGCAGCATATTAACAGAGCGTATCATGCTGTGACTATCTGCATGTCCAGTGGCTAAGCTACAGCTAAAGCCAGGTAAAGTCAGAGGTGAGCCGGGCCACGCTCTGATGGCATGCGAGGGCCATAGTCTGAGCTTTTTGCTCCCCACAGGCAGGAGCGAAACAGACGGTAGCCATTTCTGGAATGTCCTTCCTTATTCGTGCTTGTTAAAATGCAAAGTAAACCTTTCCAGAAACAGGATATTGTAGCCCCTAACCACCAGACCCTTTCTACATGCCACATTATGGCCAATCTGAAAGTAAGTTGTATAGACAGACACTGCTGCAATGCGCTTTTAATAAAGGCTGTTATTGCCCTGGTGATGCAGAGTGGATATGAGGATGAGGACCGTGCAGGCCTGGATGAGCAGGGCCCCAGAGGGCCTGCAGCTCAGTCAGGCCTCTGTCAGTCGCCTGCCTTCTAATCCCTGTCCGAAGGGCATCCAGGCAGCATAGGAAATTGTTTGCTGTCTGCAGAACGTGCCAGGAAATTCATAAATACATTACTTTTCATTTTGAAAATATTACAAAAGACTAGACATTTATTAAAAAGCCAAAATGATGGCTTTATAGATTTTCCAGTTGTGTTTCAGCATTCATATGACCCTGTTGCTCAAACTAACACAAGCGAGTCCTTTCTTTCCCTCTGCCCCCTGCTTTACAGGCTTGGTATGAATTCCTTTCCTGGCTCATCTTGTAATAGCAAATTGACCAGAAAGCCACCACTCTATTCTGGGATAGGCTGTGAATAAGAAGAAGAAAAAAAAAAAAGTCTGGTGTCCAGATTTT